CAGAGTAAAGTTAATGTAAAGGCAGAAAAATTCATTCGCGAGAGTTTTTGAATCATGAAGTCATATCTTGGAATTTTGTCGGGGATTGACCTCCTTTCGTGTTATATTATCCTAATACAAAGACGTAAAATTGGCGAAAGGTTTCACGCCAAGGCTACAAAAGTATTGTCCGAGATTTCTTGGAAATGACGTCATTTCTTGGAACTGATTCGATGAACGACCTCCTTTCATGTTATGTTATCCTAATACAAAACCGTGAAATCGACCAGGAATTTTTCCTCGTAGCGGCAAAAGTATTGTCCGAAATTTCTTGGAAGTGACGTCATTTCTTGGAACTGTCTGGACGATAAACCTCCCGTCATATTATGTTCTCCTGATACAAAATCGCGAAATCTGCTGCAACTTTTTCTTCGAGATCGCAAAAGTATTGTCCACAGAGGTTGCAAAAGTATTGACCACCGAAGCTGCAAAAGTATTGACCACTGAAGCTGCAAAAGTATTAACCACCAGGCGGCAAAAGTATTGTCCATTGGGCGGTAAATGTATTGTCCTCTGAGTTCCTGGAAATGACGTCATTGCCCAGAACTTCGTGGACAATACTTTTGCCACCTGTGAGAAATATTTTTTGCCGATATCGCGATTTAGTATTAGGATAACATGACGTAAAAGGAGGTATTTCTCGTGGACAATATTTTTGCCGTTTGTGAGAAATATTTCTTGCCAATTTGGCCTATCCATATCAGCAGAACGTAACATAAGAGGAGGTTCTTTGAACAATACTTTTGCAGTCTAGATCTCCGGTCAACAGCATCTGTGTTGTTGGAGTGGAAGTTTGTGCTACAGATCAAAATCATAGATGGCGCTAACTTATATCGCTAGAATTTTATAAGAAAAATTTTATACTTACCTTAGTTATACGTACCTTCCAATACTTACCTTCCACCATCTTAATTAATAAACTATTTCCTCAGATATTGCCTACTCTTTGTTTTCAAAGTTTAAAGAGAACAATAAAAACTTACAAGAGATAGGAAATATCTTAAACTTTGTGCGTAGCTCTTAGCTTGGTATCGTTTGCCAAAGATTTCTCTTTGGAAAACGATACCAATTACCAGGTCTCACCACGTGGAGGTGGCTACGCATCGAGACCCGGACATGAGCCCTAGTGGCGCAGCCTATTGGCGCTATCTGTATCAAAGATATCTAATCTAACTTGGAGCGAAAGAAGTTAAAGTGAAAATCTATAGACACTTTATTATATTTCGTGTCTTACAAAAGGGACTTCGATTCGGTATACTACAACTCTACTGTCGCTACACTAAGATATCTTTATTCCTCATAAAAATAGGGAATAAAATATAAAACACGCGAGTAAGTTAAAAATCTCGATCGCGCCCGAACGAGTTCGCGATTATTCGAAAGACCGACTAGCCTACGAGACGTACTCTCGTTTACAAGACAACTTCGTGTCTCGGCACGCTCCCGATCGAACCTAGCTCACCCAGCCACCACAGAACCCGCCATGACTTACTCGTGAACGAGAGCGATCGACGAACCAACGAAACACCCAAAATCAAGCCGAGGGTCTCTAGCGAGGCCCTGTAGCCGGTCACGCAGGCCCCTGCCACATGAGGGAGAAATTAATCATCCCATGGGGTCTGACCGTAGAGCCATATGCAATGTCCGGCTACAGGACCCATACTCCGGTCGTGCACGCGCTGGTGCCCAGGACGACTAAGGCCGACAGACCCTCGAATTGACCCAGGTGAGTGCCAGCCCGCTGACCACCCTACAGCCGATACATGACAAGGGTGGCAGTGGCGAGGGTGAATATCGGAACGATCGTTTGGATGACTTACGAAACATGGAGTTATCGAGCACACGAGAGTACGTCGCGTAGGCTAGTTGATACTTAAGAACGATCGCGATTAATGCGAGAACAATTATGTTCTATTTGGTAAACGAGGGGGAAAATATGAAATGTCTATATTCGCTCCAAGTTAGGTAGCTTACCTTTATACAGATAACGCTCACATGAGACTTAGTCTAGTGATCTATCTTATAACTGCTTATAACTACTTAGATCTAAACGCACGCATCCCGTGTCGTCCAACGATGTCTTCCGAATGAAATCTTGAAGAACTTGAGAACCTAAAAAGAAAATATATAAACCTGAAAAGGAAATATATAAACGTGAAAAAAAATATATATACAAATCTGAAATGAAAGGGATTAGTAAGGAGGAACGAAATAAAAGCGGAACGATCAACTCTACGATGAGACATTCGAATATTATACGAAATATTCGAATTTTCAATTAAAGACGGATAGGAATGAAAAATAAAATCTGGAAAAGAGAAATTATTAAAACCTGAAAAGAAACGGATTAGTAAGAGAAAACTACAAAAACAGTCAAAATGAAACGATGAACCCAATGATGTGACATGTACAACCTAGCGATGAGACATAAACAACCCAACGATGGGACATTCGAATATTATACGAAATATTCGAAATGTCAAATAAAAATAAATAGAAAGGAACAATTATCATCTGAAAAGAGAAAAAATAATTAGTAGCTGAAAAAGAAAAAATAATAAATAGATAAAAAGCTGAAATAAAGAAATAATTAATACCTGAAAACAAAATAAAAATTATTAGTAAATTGTTTAATGGGGTGGGGTGAGGGTGGAATGGCCAGCCCCAACATCACGACCAATCCCTACCCTTCGTGCACAACAAAAACTTATATGTTACACTGCCGAAGCCGAACCGACAAATGAATTTATGTAAGTCCCGTCGCTCCTTATATAGCCTCCGATCGGCCGAGCCCCACACCCCGAATGGAAGTTTTTGAGCTTCACCGATTCTACTAATTATTATTTTTCCGCTGTAATAGCTAATGATTTATTAATTTTTTCACTTTTATTATAAATATACGTTGCAAGCAATTTGTTATTAACAATCGATGTAACAATTTATAAACTTTTTGCAAATTGTAGATTCCTTTATGACTCAAGTATGTTATAAATTCAAGGGATAGCCAATAATTTATTTATTTTTTCATTTTTGTTATAAATTTACGTTGCGAACAATTTGTTATTAACGATATTAATTTATTATTAATAATCGGTGCAATAATTTATTAACATTTTGCAAATTATAAATTCCTTTGTGACAATTACGTTATAAATTCATGTGATAGCCAATAACTTATAATTTTTTCTTTTTTATTATAAAAGTATGTTGCAAACAATTTATTATTAACAATAGGTATATAATTTATAACCTTTTTGTTAATTATAGGTAGATTTTAGCACATGTACGTTATAAATTCAAGTAATTGGCAACAATTTGTTAACTTTTTAACATTCAATATTTATTTATATCGCGAATAATTTATTAATCAATTCATTATTAACGATAACTATAATAATTTATAAATTTTTGGAAAATTATTTGTACATTTGTACATAAGTTCTTTATAAGTTCAAGTAATAGTCAATAATTTATTAATTTTCTACCCTTATTATAAATTTTGTATTGCGAACAATTTGTTGCGGTCGAATTTGTTATTAATTTCCATTAAGTACACTAGGGGGTTTTCTTTTAAACTTTGATAAACTCAGGATACTCTCATCTAACTTATAAAACGACGATGAACCTCCTAATCTTTATACCTTTCTCATAATACTTCGTTTTATCAAAAAATCGTACGTTTTTAGAATGCTCGTCCGCCTACACCAATTCTAGAACTCTCAGATGGTATATTCTCCTCCATTATTGTATTGAAGTATGTGTGTTGTTCTACTTTGCCTCTGCTGCTGCAACATAATTTTACAATCTCTGTAATGCTTCAATATTTGATTCCATAAGATATATTATCACAAAATTAATAAAATTTAATGTTACCACATATATCAGAATGTGTTATTTCTATGAACCTTCTCGCCCTTCTTCTTGTCTCTACAAATGCAGGCTTCAATTGTTTTGCTTCAACATATATCTTCCATTCACCAATTCTTGCCTCTAGTTCTCTTTTCGATAATATCGTTCCCAATGCCTTCTTCGACAACTCTCACATGTTTCCAACACTTAGGTGGCTCAATTTTCTGTGCCACATTACCAGCTTCTTGTTCTTCTCTGCTAGTAATGCTCTAGCATATATCTTTTGTTTTGACTCTTCTACACTATTAAATCCATTATTATATATCTTCCTTACTAATAGTTTTCCTTTATTCTCATAAAATATTACTTCATTTTCCTTGAATATCTCGCCATCACTCCCAGTTATCAGATCTACTGATAATAAATTCTGTCTGAAATGTAGAACATACAAATATTATTTCTTTGTGCTGATCCAATTTCCATCCTTGTTTCTTCCCATTCTTTAAAATATTCTACCTTACTAATAACATGACTCTTTGTTCCACAGTCCAAAATCCATTGTGCTGTTCCATTACTCTCTGTCAAGAAACATACTTTCAGCTTTTAGACTTATCTCTTTCTTTTCCTTTACGTTTTCAAAATAACAATCCCACTGATTTTTTCCAAATGATAGGACTACTTTCATGTCCCAGATGGAGATTACATTTCTTATGCCTCTTCTTTTCATCCTGATTCTGAAAAGTTTTTAGAATTTTGTCTCAATCTACCACAACTAAAGCATTTTATTTCTTTGTTACCTTTATTGTTGTTCCAATATGTATGTGCAAGATGTTTAGTTGAGTTACACTTGAAACATTCATTTCCCTGAGTTTAGAAGACTAGGTGTTCATTTTGATCTGCTTCTCCCCGCAGGTGCTTAACAATTAGACAAGCAGTGAAATGATCTATTGTCTATTCTTCCTACTGTGCTAACTCCTAGACACTTGCAAATGCACGATACCTGCCCAGCAACATAGTCAAGATTTTAGTTCCAAGTATTGCTTCTTCTATCTTACGTCCTAATGCATGCAATCTTAAAACTTACCCTTCATATATACAAAATGGACCAAAATATCATGTTCACTTTCTTTATGTGCCACTGCCCCATTAGTCTTGCTGCCTTCAGAGTTTTCAAGTTCCTATAAATATGTCTATATATTTTTACCTGAATGCAACATTTACACTCTATATTCAATTTATCGTTACCTTTCATACCTATAACTAATTGTTCATTCCCGTTTTCTACTATGATCCTCATATTTCCATGTCGCTGCCACACATTTTTCTCTGTTGATACATATGCTGCCTCTTTTCTGTTTCTCGATTCTGCATAATATTCGTTTCCTCTTCTCACTGTTTCAATTTGTACTTCTCCCTCTTCTCTATATACCTCAGCTGCATCATTCTGAAACTTAACACATTAGCGATGATCATTGACTATGACCACTGATATTAATATTCATTTAGATCATGAACACAACATACCTGTCGATCTCACTGTATGCTCCATATTGTGTAATAAGAATCCATATGTTATAAGAATCCATCATCCAAATTAACTCCATTCCTTCCATCTGAATAAACCACCTCCTGTTTATGAATAATGGCTTGACCATCGAGGATATCTATGTTGCACGTGATATGGTTACCCAACCTAGAAACCAATACACATCATACCATATATATTAGTTTTAAAGCTTTAATTCGTTTTCAAAATAAAATATAATTCCTGACACATCCTTTGGTGATATTCCATAACTACACTACATTTCAACAGTTGCTCGTGCCTGTTTATTTCACCAGAATACTGTCTACAACCAACTCAACAATGTTATACACAAAAAACATAATCCAACAGACTAATTTCGCAAATAGAAGCCAAGAAAGACTATTACGCAGCACGATTTCACACCTACTGACACGTTCGGCACTATTTTTCAAGAACGCATGCCCGAAAACACCAAAAAAATAATCAACCCTGTTAAAGAAAAATTCCCTCTACTCGGATATACGGAACAAACCTAATGAAAAAGCCTAATTTCGCAAATAGAAGCCAAGAAAGTCTATTACGCAGCACAACTTCACACCCACTGACACATACGGCACAATTATTTGAAAACGAAAGCTCGAAATCCCCAAAAAATAAACAATCCCGTCAAAGAAAAATTTCCTCTATACGGATATATAGAACAAACCTAAACAGAAAGCCTAATTTCACAAATGGAAGCCAAGAAAGCCTATTACGCAGCACGATTTCACACCCACTGACACATTCGGCACTATTATTCGAAAACGCATGCTCGAAACCCCAACAAAATAATCAATCCCGTTAAAGAAGAATTCCCTCTACACGGATATATAGAACAAACCTAATCAAAAAGCCTAATTTCGCAAATAGAAACCAAGAAAGTCTATTAGGCAGCACGATTTCACACTCACTGACACATTCGGCACTGTTATTCGAAAACGCATGCTCGAAACACCAAAAAAATAATCAGTCCCGTTAAAGAAAAATTCCCTCTACACGGATATATAGAACAAACCTAATCAAAATGCCTAATTTCACAAATGGAAGCCAAGAAAGTCTATTACGCGGCACGATTTCACACCCACTGTCATATTCGGCACTATTATTCGGAAACGCATGCTAGAAACCCCCGAAAGAAAATCAATCCCGTTAAAGAAAAATTCCCTCTACACGGATATACAGAACAAACCTAATCAAACAGGCTAATTTCGCAAATGGAAGCCAAGAAAGTCTATTAGGCAGCACGATTTCACACTCACTGACACGTTCGGCACTGTTATTCGAAAACGCATGCTCGAAACACCAAAAAAATAATCAGTCCCGTTAAAGAAAAATTCCCTGTACACGGATATACAGAACAAACCTAATCAAACAGCCTAATTTCGCAAATGGAAGCCAAGAAAGTCTATTACGCAGCACGATTTCACACCAACTGACACATTCGGCACTATTATTCGAAAACGCAAGCTTGAAACCCCAAAAAAATAATCAATCCCGTTAAAGAAAAATTTCTTCTACACGAATGTATAGAACAAACCTAATCAAAAAGCCTAATTTCGCAAATAGAAGCCAAGAAAGTCTATTACGCAGCACGATTTCACACCCACTGTCATATTCGGCACTATTATTCGAAAACGCATGCTAGAAACCCCAGAAAGAAAATCAATCCCGTTAAAGAAAAATTCCCTCTACACGGATATATAGAACAAACCTAATCAAACAGCCTAATTTCGCAAATAGAAGCCAAGAAAGTCTATTACGCAGCACGATTTCACACCCACTGTCATATTCGGCACTATTATTCGAAAACGCATGCTAGAAACCCCAGAAAGATAATCAATCCCGTTAAAGAATAATTCCCTCTACGCGGATATATAGAACAAACCTAATCAAAAAGCCTAATTTCGCAAATAGAAACCAAGAAAGTCTATTACGCACCACGATTTCACACCCACTGACACATTCGGCACTATTATTCGAAAACGCATGCTGGAAACCCCAAAAAAATAATCAATCCCGTTAAAGAAAAATTCCCTCTATACGGTTATATAGAACAAACCTAATCAAAATGCCTAATTTCACAAAGGGAAGCCAAGAAAGTCTATTACGCAGCATGATTTCACACCCACTGACACATTCGGCACTATTATTCGAAAACGCAAGCTTGAAACCCCAAAAAAATAATCAATCCCGTTAAAGAAAAATTTCTTCTACACGAATGTATAGAACAAACCTAATCAAAAAGCCTAATTTCGCAAATAGAAGCCAAGAAAGTCTATTACGCAGCACGATTTCACACCCACTGTCATATTCGGCACTATTATTCGAAAACGCATGCTAGAAACCCCAGAAAGAAAATCAATCCCGTTAAAGAAAAGTTCCCTCTACACGGATATATAGAACAAACCTAATCAAACAGCCTAATTTCGCAAATAGAAGCCAAGAAAGTCTATTACGCAGCACGATTTCACACCCACTGTCATATTCGGCACTATTATTCGAAAACGCATGCTAGAAACCCCAGAAAGATAATCAATCCCGTTAAAGAATAATTCCCTCTACGCGGATATATAGAACAAACCTAATCAAAAAGCCTAATTTCGCAAATAGAAACCAAGAAAGTCTATTACGCAGCACGATTTCACACCCACTGACACATTCGGCACTATTATTCGAAAACGCATGCTCGAAACCCCAAAAAAATAATCAATCCCGTTAAAGAAAAATTCCCTCTACACGGTTATATAGAACAAACCTAATCAAAATGCCTAATTTCACAAATGGAAGCCAAGAAAGTCTATTACGCAGCATGATTTCACACCCACTGACACATTCGGCACTATTATTCGAAAACGCAAGCTTGAAACCCCAAAAAAATAATCAATCCCGTTAAAGAAAAATTTCTTCTACACGAATGTATAGAACAAACCTAATCAAAAAGCCTAATTTCGCAAATAGAAGCCAAGAAAGTCTATTACGCAGCACGATTTCACACCCACTGTCATATTCGGCACTATTATTCGAAAACGCATGCTAGAAACCCCAGAAAGAAAATCAATCCCGTTAAAGAAAAATTCCCTCTACACGGATATATAGAACAAACCTAATCAAAAAGCCTAATTTCGCAAATAGAAGCCAAGAAAGTCTATTACGCAGCACGATTTCACACCCACTGACACATTCGGCACTATTATTCGAAAACGCGTGCTCGAAACCCCAAAAAAATAATCAATCCCGAAAAAGAAAAATTCCCTCTACGCGAATATATAGAACAAACCTAATTAAAACGCCTAATTTCTCAAATAGAAGCCGAAAAAGTCTATTACGCAGCACGATTTCACACCCACTGACACATTCGGCACTATTATTCGAAAACGCATGCTGGAAACCCCAAAAAAATAATCAATCCCGTTAAAGAAAAATTCCCTCTATACGGTTATATAGAACAAACCTAATCAAAATGCCTAATTTCACAAATGGAAGCCAAGAAAGTCTATTACGCAGCATGATTTCACACCCACTGACACATTCGGCACTATTATTCGAAAACGCAAGCTTGAAACCCCAAAAAAATAATCAATCCCGTTAAAGAAAAATTTCTTCTACGCGGATATATAGAACAAACCTAATCAAAAAGCATAATTTCGCAAATAGAAGCCAAGAAAGTCTATTACGCAGCACGACTTCACACCCACTGTCATATTCGGCACTATTATTCGAAAACGCACGCTCGAAACCGCACAAAAGTAGTCAATCCCGATAAAGAAAAATTTCTTCTACGCGGATATATAGAACAAACCTAATCAAAAAGCCTAATTTCGCAAATACAGTGCAAGAAAGTCTATTACGCAGCACGATTTCACACCCACTGACACATTTGGCACTATTAATCGAAAACACATGCTCGAAACCCCATAAAAATAATCAATCCCGATAAAGAAAAATTTCTTCTACGCGGATATACAGAACAAACCTAATCAAAAAGCCTAATTTCGCAAATAGAACCCAAGAAAGTCTATTACGCAGCACGATTTCACACCCACTGACACATTCGGTACTATTATTCGAAAACGCATGCTAGAAACCCCAGAAAGATAATCAATCCCGTTAAAGAATGATTCCCTCTACGCGGATATATAGAACAAACCTAATCAAAAGGCCTAATTTCGCAAATAGAGTGCAAGAAAGTCTATTACGCAGCACGATTTCACACCCACTGACATATTCGGCACTATTAATCGAAAACACATGCTCGAAACCCTATAAAAATAATCAATCCCGTTAAAGAAAAATTCCCTCTACGCGGGTATATAGAATAAACCTAATCAAAAAGGCCAATTTCGCAAATAGAAGCCAAAAAAGTCTATTACGTAGCACGACTTCACACCCACTGTCATATTCGGCACTATTATTCGAAAACGCATGCTAGAAACTCCAGAAAGATAATCAATCCCGTTAAAGAATAATTCCCTCTACGCGGATATATTGAACAAACCTAATCAAAAAGCCTAATTTCGCAAATAGAATGCAAGAAAGTCTATTACGCAGCACGATTTCGCACCCACTGACACGTTCGGCACTATTTTTCGAGAACGCATGTCCGAAGCCGAAAAAAAGTAATCAATCCTGTTAAAGAATAATTCCCTCTACGCGGATATATAGAACAAACCTAATCAAACGGCCTTATTTCGGAAATATTTGTGGAGAAAATAAACTGTGTAACACGATTTCACAGGCATTTACTCTTTCGTCACTTTATTTCACATTTGCACCTTCACTTTTCTCCATATGTAGTATGTTACCACCGAACGAATGTTTACAGTTATTTGTTCCTTTCTTAGCAGTTCTCCCAATGTCTTAAACTTGTGTTATTATCCGTTCGTAAATATCATGACGATGTTGCACAAGTTGATCAATGCTCCAAACAATAACTGATACTGCACATTATATTTCTTCAATATTTCTTTCGTCAGTTGCACTAATTAAAAGACTGATCAATGATAACACTACTTTTCGAAACGTTTTGTTCAGGAGCTGAAAATTTCACTGTAACGCGAGTAAATATTGCATCATGTGCTACCGGCATGTTGGATT